GTCAATGCGCCAGGGGAGTTACAGAAATCGGTTTCGGCTTTGCCACGTTTCTATACCTCGACCGATAGGTGGTCTCGAGAGGGGCTGTACACCTACTAGTGGAGAACCATCTTGGAGAGGACATTACATAGGTCAATCATACTTATATCTGCCAAACGATTGATTTGAACAATCAGTGCATCTATTCGCCATCTTGTCGGGTTATTCTCGTCCTGCTCCAAAGTAAACGTTATTTTCAATTGAGAATAATTACCATTTAAAATTAACAGACAGTGGTTTCCCCAGTTTTCTTTTGATGATAAAAAACTATTTACTTTACCGATCGATCGATCTTTTTGTGACGCGATGAATCTAATGATGCGTCAAAATTTACTGCATTTTAGTAGCACAAATCACCGGGTAGAATTGTTACAACTTAAGGTTTATCGTCCTCGCTTCTGTCAATATAAGAACATTTAGGAGTAGCAAACTTGGATTAATCCATTCGATTGTTCACAGGCACCAGACATTGTTGATAATCTTGGGGTGTGGGTTTCACTCCGTTGAAGATTGGTAATTTCCCGCTAGTTGAATGCGTACACAAAAAGTACGTTGCCTGCTGACGAGTCCCAAATAGGACAAAACAATCGTCCAGTACTCTTTGTCGGTCATCACGCAAATCTTTCCATCGCTTATAGGAACATTTCATCGGCATGGTTTTAGGGACTACAGGATTCGTTGGGGAGGTGTGCATTTTTTGAAAAAATATCCCTGTCCCTCAACTCGAAATCTTATCTAATGATTTCACAATCGGTGTGTATTGTGTCGTCTATTTTGTTCACTCTCTACCCGAGCGATCAGACGAGACACATGCTCAATTGCCAACAATACGGACTGGAAATTTAAAATGAAGCAAACCGTGAAGAAATTATTGGCATTTGCTGAACCAAAACAAGAGAGCTAATGAATGTTAGACAACTCGATTTATGTAGAATTTTTTCCGAATACTACGGTCCAGCATAATGGTTTTCAATTTAACTTTACATAGTTCTGTAAATTCCAGACTGAACGGTCGCATTTTCACCCCACCCCAGCCTGATGTCCTCGAGTTCGAATTGTACAACAAAGATGCAAGCAAGCTAAGAAGAAGCTGTACTACGGTTTCGATCTAGTGGAGTGTCATCACCAGCACCTAATCCATCAACCCAACTGACGAAATTCTCTAAGTAATCGAACTAAATCCTCCAGTATTCGCGTGTAACAAGTAATCAGAGGTGCCTAGCGCTCCCAGCCCTTCTACTAAGATGACCGAGTGGATAGTATGCTTGCTTTCTATCTCTCTGATAGATCCTCCGATTGACTGCCTTCATTTGTTCTATTTTATAACGAGTAGTATATGAATGACTGGATCTAATTCCCCAGACACACTTCAGAAGCACTAATGATGTCACCTCGGCTGGTGGTGAAACGTTTGCAAACAAATTGCCAAGCTCGGCGAACAGGCGAAATGGAATTCAGTTCACCCGAGCTACGATAACCGATTTTCGATATTTTGTCAACAAACTAAATTCTTTGGGTGTCATTCATAGGTCGGGTTGCTAAAGCACACTGTTTTCGGCTATTAATGACCTCATAACTTGTATTTCGGGCAGTTGTTTTGTGATGAATCAACCCTTATGTTCCAGAGAATAATAGTAAGGTGAAGATTTTTATACCGGAAGTACAAGATACATATGCCAATAACTTTATCGAGGAATTCCAGATACGCCTGTTTGTTGAACGGTGGGAACTGTGCAACCGGTCGTTTCTATGCAGCCATCTCCAGGCTGCCCATTATTTACATTTATATCTTGAAAGATAATAGACCGTTCAACCGAATTGGGCAACCTTGTCAGTCAGGGGCTCCGAACTGTTCAACTTCCCCGTATTTGATGTAGGCCTTGGGAGTCTCCTGCCCATGTGCACTTTTATCAAATGATACCACCTTTTCATAGGTTAGGATGAGCAGTTTTTGTTCGTTTCTCTCTCTGTCTCATAAACCATGTGTTTCAAATTTCAGCACGGCATGATCCAGTTTTGCATTGGATACTCGGCGTTCCCGATCACACTCCTGTTATTCTGAGGTAGGTTATTGCCTCAATTTTGTGTGACCATGTTCCCTTGCTTATCTTCAAATCCCTTATGGGTCATCATCCAGTTTTTTGTTAAGTTTCACGGCTGCGTTTTGTTCGGTCCGAACATACGATTGACACCCAATGGCTCTTGCTTAAGGCCCCATCAACAACGCGGAAAGAGAACGAGACTGGAGTCAACAGTCAGCGTGTAGTCTATGACTATGATTCAGCACGCAAACCTATGGGGTAAATCACGTATTCCAGAATTACGTGGTGACACACCAATCAGGTCGCGTCCTTGACATTTCGACTAATCGATTGGACGACCACTGGCCGACTCGTTCTGCAGTGATCCAATGCGGATTCGCCCGCTTGGATTGTCACGAGCGTGCGTGTGGCCTGACGCGGAAGCGTGTACCAGCTAACCGATTGTGTAAGCTCCATCCTACCGGTGTCAACGGCACACCCGAGCTTCATCTTTGCAGCAGTCAGACGTATTCAGACATGGTACAGTAGGTCGAGCTAGTGATGCTGAAATCGTGCTGACGCACCCAATCGCGTTGCATCCGAAATTTCCAATGCGATGCATTGCGCGTAGAACACGGCTGTGGTGACGTGCAACATCTTTCATGTAGCTCGCAGAACAAAATTTTATTCCCATGCTTCGTATACATTTTGAAAGTTCAGCTGTCTCTTTTATTGAAATGGGTTTCATTTACTCAAACGGGGGAACTACCGATACGACTCGAGGAGCAATTAATTTCTTAAGGCATATCGAAAATGAACTTCGTAGGATAAACCTTTCATATATGTTCCGGACACATTGTGTTCCTTTTTTGTTGCTAAAACTTTAGGTGATCCGCTTGCAAAAGTTCACAATGATAAAGTGCGATCGTTGACTAACAAATATCTGCGGGACTGTTCAGTTGTCGTTACTTGTCGATTCAAACGTGGTCATCATAACATGCATAAAGCCTCATAAATAGCGCCGGCTTTTCGCATCGGATATACAAGTGTGAACCAAAGGACTCGGTCGTATTGAACGTCGCTATCACTGAGCGATACAACTGAATATGGTCAAGGTTGATGCATATGCATCTATACACAATTTTTACGTGACCTTAATCCACCCTAATTCTCCCCCCCCCTTGATACTGACCTCCGGCTGTGTGCTTCCTCTATTAATTCGTCAAAATGGGCAACCAGAACCACACCGCCAAAATGCGAGGTTAATACTTATATAATCTGAAGCAGAACATCAGTTTCCTTCTGGACCGTTCACTCTCAGGTGGTGTTGGTGGAGTCATTAAGAGAGCAATCCCTGGGAAATCCGGCATTCCACGTGGTTTCGTTTTATTTCACACTCCACTCTTTCCCTTTGTCGATAGCCTTTCGTTCAAAACTCTTGGTCATATCCACGCTTTTTGCCCAAGCTACTAACCGACATTGTTCTCCTTCTTTCATCACTTCCGGTGCTTTCTCTATCATCACGGTCACGCACGTTCTATCCTCTTCTTGTGCATCACCCTATTCAGATCTGAGTGCCCAGTTGGCTTGGGACGCTGAAAATCGAGTCATGTTCCATACCGTCAAAACCTGTTCCATGTCTGTGTCCTGTCCCTACACTCTGCATCTTAATTTTAACTCTAATGCACTTTGTTTCACATTTTTTACGACTCTGCTTGACCTTTAGTTTACTTTTTCCATAGTTTGGCTTCCTTATGTTGGTAAACTTACCTCGCACGAAACGGATTTTCGGCTTCTTTATTTACATGACCCAAATACATCACACTATTGAATATCGTCTCTGAATCTGAAGCCCCCTTTTCTTCTTTGACATTTTTGAACCACGTTCAGCGTAAGGACATTCGCCTTGTCGTTGTTTCGTCACTAATATTCACTCTTGATCATCAGCTTCGCAGCTGCCCCACTCAGTACCACACCTATGGTAGTGTAGCCCTATGCAATTCGTCTCTCTAAGTTCCGGGGCTTACGTCATCAGTTTTTATAAATAATGGATAGTGGGCCTTCGCGAATATCAATTATTTCTCTTCCGCTTTTCATCATACCGGAGTATGTGTAANCCCATTGCTGTTCGATCGCCTCCTCGTTCCTGTTCCGCATTTGTTACTACGGCTCTGCAGGTTTTGCCGATTCAGTCCCTTTTCCACTTCCGTTTATTCACTAGACCCAGTCACAAGCTTCAAGTGACTCTGCTATCTCCACTTCCTCTTCTTCCGCTGAATCAAGCAATTTAAGAGCAGAATATACACAGTGTCGTTTGAATTCACGTTCCGCATTCCCACTATACGCTAGTCTCCGTGATAATACTGGTTACCCGAGTTCTGTACATCATGCTTTTCATGTAATTTAAAAAGAAACAGTGCTTTCCGATACAATGTGGTCATACAGCGTTAAACTTCTTGTGTTAACAGGTCTGGAATCGGAAGGTACGTAATCACCCAATTGGCCCCTTTAATTTACTGGTTTCCCAGAGGTTGATGATTTAAAAAAAACATTATCCTGGCAGTTTCCAGGTGCCACGGCACTGGATTGACTTTGCACAGAAAACGTTTCCAGACTTCTG